CTTAAACATTTTTTACTAGTCAGAATGTCGTGTTTTGTAATTTAGGCAAATTCTGAAAATTAAGCTAATTAATGAAATACAGTAATAAGTGGGCAGCTGATTTCCTGAAAATAAATATATAAATTTTGAAATACAACTTCATGATGGCTTACATAGTTGGTCCCATATATTTCTAAGTATTGTAAGTTATGTTTGTGATTTTTATATGCTCTGTGCACCTTATAACCATTTCCAAATTTAAGTAACAAAGAGTAACATTTCTTCTTATCTACATGTAAACTGTGTACAAAATGTACCTTGCCTGTTTATGCTGCCTAATCATTTTTGTTAGTTTTTGTATACTGTATTTTGTTTTGTAATATGTAAAAAGATTAATTAGTTGTTTCATTGATTATGCCAAGAATATGAACATTATTTATGCTATTCTTTCAGTAGGAGAAAAAATGTTTGTTCAATTAAAAGAAAGGTAAATCAAATATAAAAACCAAGCAATCCAAATTGAAATTATTCTTCAAGTATATTAGCTCATCACGAATGAACAGTATGCTGATATCTTTAAATAATTAATAGTATGATCGTCATAAAATAATGAGTAACACAGTAAGCTACTGGGCTCAGATTAAAACTAGACATAAATTTGTTATTGAATCATAACATGTTCATATCTGCTCCTAGTGTCTACTTGCCCAGCACCTAAAAACATAAACAAGACTTGCTACTTTACAACTGAACTTAAAAGGTCTTCCCTGTCATTCACTGTCACAGCAAAACCAGTAGGACAAAAAATACTCTCAGAAGGTCATTTGTGTCAAATTCTATTTTCATCTTTGTACATTTTTAAATCCATTAAACTTTTATTTAAGTCACTCCACATGTGCACTTAGGAAAATGATTCTAGGAAAAAAAAAAAATCTTGATATACCCCCAGGAGGGAGTAAGAATCTGTCCCATAGGCAACTAATTAGTTTTTTATTTCAAATATAGACATGTGTAATAAAATTACTTTAATTGTACTCAAAAAATTATCTTAAAATAAGTGATGATAATTAATACTAAATGAAACATTAAGGTATGTTTTTATCTAACAAAATGTATATTTAACCTAATAATGTTATATTTAACCCAATTTCAAACCCGCAAATAAATAAATACTAACAATCTGAGTATTCATCATAATAATTGGAATAATGATAAAATATATTAAATATTGTTCTTAAGCCAATAATAAATTTAGCTTACTTGCTACATTTTCATTATTAATAGTTTTCATTATTAATAGGTATAATTGTTTAAAAATTATACATAAAAACAAAATTAAAGCTGATATTTTTATTTTAAATGTTTTTTAATTCTGAAAGTATTAAAAATCAGTGCATTTTTCTAATGTGAAAAGTAGTTATAATACTTTGGATTTAATACCTTATTTAGAGGAAAGGACATTTCCTATCATTAGTATATTTATTTTATATTTTATATTTTATTTTCATTCTTATTCATTCTTAGCATTATATAAGATTATATTATTATTAGTACTAAAATGCTATAAATAATTTTTGATATGAATGATTCCACATATTTACCTCTCAGACTTACAGTCAACTCTAGATTGCTAAGTTTGATATCAAGATCATTTTTTAATCTAAAATTTCTAGTTATTAAACGAAAATCGTTACACACGGAGATTGAATTGGTACTTTCCTAGTACGGTCTGAACATTCCATCAATCAGTGTCTGTTGTCTCGCTACTCTGTGAACAGAACGACAGACTGAGGCACACTACAGATGTCTATTCGAAAGGTGAATAATTATAGGGCTATTGACACCTTTTACAGAGTAACGGGAATTGGGCCGGTCACATAATAACCAGGAGAAATAGGCTGGATACGACAAGGAGATGGATGAACAAGAGGATAGGGGCACATACTAATTTACTTGATGGAGAATTTGAGGCAACAAAATATTAGGTAGATTTGGAGAAAAAAAAAGAAATTGTACTTAGTAATATAATAATAATGATAATAATAATTTATAGACATTTAATGCCAACAGCATAATTAACAATTTTCTCATAGAAAAATGAGATGATAGCCAACAAAAAAAATTGTTCCAGTACAGGTGTTAGCTACAAAAATAAAATTCCCACTGCATAATCTAAGCAACAGTAGTACAAAAAGTCAATGTACAAAACACAATAATAATAATAAGAAATAACGATACAAAAGAATAATAGGTGGCAGCAAACAGAATGTGACACTCAACTTGGCTAAAAAAAAAAAACTGTTGTATGTAAAATCATGAAGGAAATTTCCTCCATGGTTAACTATAGTGTAGAAGTAGCTGAAAAGGAGTTACATTTAATGGTTCTATAATATCTTTTTAAATTTTTTCTTCATCCAACAGAAAATTTGTGTCTGAAGTAGACCTCGATAATAATATTATATATTATATATATTATACACTTATTTAGGGACATTCAACTATTGTGATTCAAAAATGTCAAGCTAATTAATATGACTGACTAAATATCAGGCTCCACCCATAAAATGGGTGGAGTCAAAATCCCATCTTTAACTTTACTTAGTCATATATTATACCTCCATGGTCATATATCTTTGGTTTACAAGAGAGAATATCACTTCCCTGTTATTACAAGATCATGAGACCAATGATGCTTTAAAGCATTTTGATATTAGAAATCACCAATTTTCAATAAATGTAACTAGTTGAGACATGACTGTCTTTCTTACAGTGAAGGGGAAATATTAAAACATAACATTGACAGTTCCTCAGCTCTTGTCAATTACTGTCATAGTGCCATCAATAATTAAGTTCTGCACTCTTTTTTTTTCATTGACCAATCAGGGCTGTCCTTGTAACATACTCTGTCAGCTTTCATGTGTTTGCTTGATGTATCTTTTATACTTTTAAAGATTAATTTGTATCGATTAATAGTATTTTGGTTAATATAAAAGTTGCCATGGGAACTGTCAACATTAGATGTTATCACAGATGACAATGGGCTTTCTCAATTATGGAGCAATAAATGACAATTACAGATAAAGAGTGATCTAATGTCAGATATGTACAATATACAAGTTATATTATTTCTATTAAATAAGAAATAACTAAATATTGTTTACATAGCAGAGTAACAATGTGTTAAATACGTGCAGTACACCATGCAGTTTGTTTTGAAAAGAACCAGGTTTTTTTTTTTTTTGAAATGTCTCAACATTTCATTTGAAACGCTTCATTAATTATCTACGTGGTGTACCACTAGCATTTAACACAAGAAATAACTAAATAAGCATTTGTGTATTGTGTAATGTGGAAACATTAAATAATGCACAGATGAAGGTAAGGTGGTTATAAAATTAGAGAAATGTAAATATTATTTTAGGCCTACTAGACATTTGTTGGACATAATTAACACTGCAAGAGTATCAATTGATCAATCAATCAATCCTTCCATCAATTTATAAGGCAATTATACAATGGACTATTCCATTAAGCACCACCCTTTAGTTATTGTTGGGATGTTTACATTGAGAAACAGTAAATCCCACAGAAACATAATTCACAAGATCACCCATCTGACACAATCCCTAATGGCACAACACCAAAAACCACAACATGTGAAAAAAAAAAACAGAGTACGATGAGTCAAATAAATAAAAAGATATGTTTTTGGATGTCGAGTAAAAATTTTTTTTTTGTAATTGGAAATATTTGAAATAAGATAAAAAACTTTCCACTCGACATTATGAGCATTGGAATAGTATCAAATATTTTTTACATGTTTTTTAAGAATTCAAAATTCTAAGCCATTTAAAATTTAAAGTACAGGGACATAGAGCAGAACTGTGGTTTTATGTTTAATGTACTGGCCTTCTAATCCCAAGTTCTTTGGTTCAATCTTAGCAGTAACCTCATGATTTTCTAATAAACAACTTTATATGCTCTACTGCCTATAACCTGATAATGGTTACAGAGAGCTTCTGTCATTGTTCCAAATACTGTTCTCTCCAATAAGGTAACAATATTTCATCCCACATTACTACTTTGAATCTGTTTTGACCTGAGGATTAGATTAGACGTAGATAGCTGGGAGATTATTAGGAACTCAATACTGTTCTGTTGTTGCGATGTTTACAGCATTGTCACAAGTAAAAGTAATCAATTTACATCAATTACGTTTTGAATAAATGTGACGTCTTTACCACGCAAACAATAAAAAAGTATTAGCTTAATGAAAACCGTGGTGGTACACGTTTGGCAAGCAAGCTTGGACAATTAGTACCGCTTCGCTGTGAATGTCTCGTGTATACAAGAGGCTATTAGCGTTATCATTTACTGGACCGGATAATGAAGTGAATTGATCAGACTTAGGCTTCAGGTACTAAGCTAGGCTATAACTGGTCTATTTTCTCCAATTTCCAGGCTATTAGAAACAGGAAGCATTTTAAACGTGCATTATACCGGTCACATTACCTCAACATATCAGATCGTAATGGTTCATTACAAACCAGTATTTTATATTGTAGGTCATTACATTTCATAAGAAATTTGATTTCTTCGAAAATTGCGAACGATAATGTAATGAATATATCCTATTTTTGTAATTTAGATTGTTCTTACATCATTGAGTGAATTCATATAAACATGAAGCCCTTTTTAATGTATAAATTTGTATATGTTTAAAAAAATGAAATATACTTATCTGTTTTAAGTCTATTTAAAATTGTTTAATCATTTATAAGTTTGTAAATAAGTAGACAGAAATTCATTCTTAACATTTTAATGTAATGTATTTTCTTTTCTTATAAACTAAATTAGTAGATTATTATTATATATTCTGTTTTATCAATTTAGGGCCACTAAAGATCATAATATAAATGAACTAGTGCTGGACACCAACTTACAATCTTTGACTGTTTACTCATGCAATACTAGTAAATAAATGAAGACTGATATCAGAATGAGAATCAGAAACAAAATAATTGTCACTAAATGAATACTCTTTGAATCCATTTTTTATTCAATTGCGAACTATATCATTTCTTATTGTCGCCTTTCTCTTGAATACATTTATATTTACAATTGCTTTGGTAGGTTTATTATACAACAAAAATAATAAAGATCATTGACTGAATTATAATAAAGATAATAACAATATTAATTCTATTAATAATAATAAATATAATATCAGTTGCATTTATATTAATCATGACAATGAAATATTACAATTATTATTAACTATAGTACTGGCAATAATTACAATAATGATAATATTAATATCATAATCGTAACTATAATCATAATACTAAAATACAGGATAACAATTATAATTCATAAAATAATACTCTCTCTTATTTATGTATGTGAAAAAATACAAAAACGACGGTTTCATGTTATTTAAATTAAATTTGATATCAAATGTAAATGATTTTCGAGTTTAATTACAGCAACATGCAAACCTAGATCGACCATTCATGTCGATGCACAGACACAACGTGAGTTATGTGCAACATTTCAAAGCGTTGAATCGGATGACGCCGTTTGATAAATCACGCAAGTCAAACATGTACACCAATACACGCATTTGTTACCTCACAACATAATGGATCCAGCAGATGTTTTTAAGTTCAAGTTTAAACTATTATTTACAGTTGAATGTCTGGCGGTTGCATCGACCTGTTGTGGATAATCTCTGCTTACCCTTAACGTGACAGATTGGTTCGTCATATTATTACTAAAAAATCACTCTGTGATGGAAACAGCTTTCAGATACCCCTTAAAAAAAACCCATTTAAGTTATACATCTTGAGAAGTTCGCTAGAAGACAAAACTAAACTCTCTATGTGGAATTGATGATGAACGTGTCCATGAATATTTTCCTTGTATATTCGTGTGGATAATTTTAATTGATGGCATAATCTGCGATCATCTGCTAAAATTAATAAAATTCGGAAATTTTGATGTATAACAGCACGTTAATTACTTAACTTAATGAGGATCGATTAAACTTCCTTAGTATTTTTAGTGGCTGATTCTTCCGGTTATCGGGGTAGAAATGCATTTAATACTACAATCCATCTAACTCCTGAGTTAAACAAACACATGAAAATTCTATCTCCGAGGACATGAGTAATAAGAAAATTCTATACTCATCTCGCAAACTCAAAGTCGTGCATATTTCGTAAGTTTTTATGCCTTTTAAAGGAAATTCAAATTCACCAATGAGGAAAGGACCTCTTTTTATTTGAGTTTTGTGTAAGTAAGCTGAACGATAGATTGGTAGAGACACAGATGAAGCCACATTGAAACATCAAATTTTAGCAATATATTACGATCATTGGTATTTACAGATAAGTAATAAATCTAATATTATTTTGGTTTATAAATCTCCTGACCATGTGACTTCGAATCATTTTTCTCCAGTCATGTGACATCTGCAATCAGACAGTAAAACTTTTATCAATTCTTTACATATTTTTTTTCTCATACTGTCATATGGACTATCATTTTATTTTTTTTTATATGAATTGAACCACTTATTTTTATCATTATTTCTTTTTTCCAAATATTTATGGGCCTTTAGAGTAATTTCTTATTTTCACAGACTTTAGAATTAGAATGCTAATTAACAGTTTGCCATTTACTTGCTTCAAATTGGCATCTGTTCTGCTTATATATACATTTTTTCACAGCATCTTGGTCTTAAGATTTTAATTGGTCTAAGTGTTTTCCATTATAATGGCAAATATTGCCCTGCGTAAATGTTAAGATTACGCAAAGTAAAACCACATTAAGTTTGAATTAGGAAGATTAAAGTTTAAGCTATGATTTAACTTAGGTTATTTCTTCTCAACATGTGGCCTTCTCTTGAGACATTAATCATTTATTTGCAAGGTGTTCTTTATTTATTTTTTTTTCATATATCGTTTTTTCCATTCCTCATCATCATTTTTCTTGTTTCTTCTGTTGTTTTTTACTGTGGAGATACAAGTAATCTCTTCGAACTTGACTCGATCGTAAATCAAGGACCTGTGTGATTTTCGCAACTATTTCCTTAATGTCTTCTGTTTTTGACTCAAATTCATGATACTTGAAATCACGGCTAGTTGCCAGGTACACAAGTCGGAAAACTGATTTCCCTTTGAAAATAAAAAAAACTGATATTAACAATTCTAACAATTATGAAGATACATGTCTTCACTGTCAGTTTTTATTCTACATCTCATTATTTAATAAGAGTTATTACCTCCACCAAGGAGGTTACACATTCACTGCTGTCTGTCTGTCGTGCTGTCTGTCTGTCGTGCTGTCTTAGTGTCTGTCAGCAAGATTACGCAAAAACTAATGAATGGATCCTCATAAAATTTACTGGAATGATTCATAATAATCAAAGGAAGACACCATTCAATTTTTGGAAGAAAAGGTTAAAGGACAAGGGTCAAAGAAATTTATTTTTTTACCCTAGAACATAAAAGAAAATAATGGAATCGCCCCTCGTATTCAGACAGCACTCAAGAAACCTATGTGCCTGAATACGAAGTGCGATTCCATTATTTAATTGAGGGTATGCTGCAGTTTTGCCCATTATACACGGCCTGCATATTGTTGATACTGTATTCAGGCACAGGGCGGAAGTAAGCACTCAATGGAGTGACAACTCTAGTTAATAAATCTTAATTTAATTAATTTAGAAAGTAAGAAATAGAATCCCTACTACTATATATTTGTATATATTGCATATTTATTCATCTGCCTAGTAATATGAGATAAATAGGTACAGTAGAAACATTTTTGTGATAAGAAAAAAGTTTGATGCCTGTGGAAAAATGTAGAACCAAGTTCAATCGTTTATATTTATTTGATTTTTTTAAAGTCATCAATATAATTTTGCTGGTCACAGAAATATTGAAAGTGGATATCCTGAGTATAATGCTTCAGGAAATAACATTTTAATAAACATTTAGTGTAGCAGTCTCAAATTTCATTGGCAAAAATATACACTCTGCACATTTTATTATGTTTAATTTTATCAAATATACTGTACTTACAAAAAAGGAATCTGCAAATGTGCAATGGGTTATATTTAAGTCAATACATTGTTTAGGTTCATTGAAATGGTTATTTTTAATTACAGTATTCATTTACCTGACTTCCCTTCAGAAACAATGGTACAGTCTGCTAATTTGTCTGAGCTGATTGAATATGCTTTCTGCTTGGTCCATAACTTTGACGTTTTAGTCTTCTGTTGCATTATTGGTACAATCTCAATCTTCTCCCCAGATAAACCTGGGAAAGGTGAAATTGGCGGGAAACATCAGCTCACCAGTTTAAAATCATGACATACATTTTGGATAGGTTTCATAAATACTGGGACGATTTGGGTTTAACTAAATTTTTAGTGGGGATACCTGGGGGAAATCTTCCCCTCCTTAAATACATAATTGCTGAATGGTTGAATCTACAGCCTGTTGCCACACCATTGAGAAAACTTTAAGGATAATATGGCAACTCTAAATACTGAAAATTATACTCTCAGACCTTAAAAATGCTTTCCAAAGTGCCTCAACTTATAATTAGTCTGATTCTGACAATCTCACTGACATATCATGAAGGTTGTGTACTTTATTGTGTACTATACACTATTTTCGCGATATTTGAAATGAAAATTTCCAATAACCTGGCAACTACCACTGGGGGACTTTCAGAGGCCTAGCATTTTGCTCTATATACCTACTACCATCATGGATTAAATCAACGATTTATCTAAATTACTTATGAGTACAAATATTTTAAAACGGAAAAAACACGAAATGTTTACATTAAAAACAAGTCTTAAAAAGCTATTGCAATGTTTACATATACAGTAAGTACAGTAATTAGCAAGATCGTATCTGTTGTCTACTGCTGCTATAGCAAAGGTCTAGCAGCGCTATCCGCTGCAGGTTGTTCTATTGGTAACTAGCCGGTTCCTGAGGCTAGGCCGCTGGAAGTCCCACAGTGAGTTGCGAGACGTTGGCGGCGCTGTTTCAAAATAAATCCCATGAAATGGTCTATAGGTACAGAAAAAAAATGATGGGTATAGAAAAAAATAATTGTGTTATAAATATGCCACTGGAATCACCAACAAGAAGATGGAAGTATTAGTAGTTAGATAAATGCATTACATACCAAAGTCAACTCCAGATGGCGGTCTAAGTACGTTCCTATGCAGCATTTGTATCTGGTAGGACTTGTATTGTGAACTAAGGACTAATGGGGATTCACATGTAACTGGAGCATTTCCGGGACTCTCGTGAATAAATGATATTGATTCTCTCTTGCCTGTACAAGAAAAGAAAACACACAACAGTGATATAATACATTGTAACACTGAAAAATCTAAACTGTTCATCCCATGAGTATAGAATAAAGAACATGGTACACTTATTGGTATTGTCTTCCCAGTGTACAGAGCGATTTAACACCAAGACATTCTGAATTTGCTTCTGTGTACAGTATTTGCATTTTCTTCATGGTGATTAAAGGGAGAATTACAATCACAATCACAATCATAAAGATAGCTCCATGCTTTATTAAGGTAATCCATTTTAAAGGGAGAGTAACTACAAGAATTAAGAGGGCATATTTTAAAAAGAAAGTTACTACAAGTTATAAAAAATGTTTGTAAAGAAATATATTGATTACAGTAAGTTATTTTACATTTACAATCTGCAATTTTAGAGTAATAAAAAATTACAAATGCATGAATAATATTTGATTTGGATCAAAATATAAAGAAATAACCTATTTTATATCATCTTTGACTTTTCATTTTTGAATCATTTATATTATTCATCTTGTCTTTGAAAAAATAATTATTGATGTGATGAATAACAAAATATCTGGTTTATAAATAATTTACTCATTTATGTTTTTGAGTTATGAAGATAAAACTTGAATAAACCTTGAATAAAAATTGAATTAATACTAGGAGTTTATGATAGCAAAATTAGTACAACCTTCAATAGCTCAAAAGTTAAACAATATTTTGAAAGCATATTAAAGATAATATCAATATAATGTATGTTTATAAGAAGAGAATTTTTTTATGTTTTCAGCTTTGGTAAGAAAAAATATATAATATGTAGATATAATTTGAACTGTACTATAAATTATAATATAAGAATAATTAGTTTTAATTTCAAAACACCAAAGAGAATTATTATAATCATATTACAGTAAAAACTAAATTATAATACAGTACAGTACAATTTGAAACATTATAATTTATCATAAATGTATTATAGAACTGAAAATTATACTACGAAAAATACTAATCATAATTTTTAATGTAAGTCTGCTATATTATTGTAAATAAGAGTGAAAATTAAATTACATTACAACAAAAATAATTATAATTTGAAACTTAATATATTATAACTAATCATAATAGTAGAACTGTAAACTACAATATAATAAATATCACTATGAAGCTATAGAAGAGTTAATTATACCATAGTAAGATAGTAAATTATAATGTAATGTACTTTATTTCCATGTAAACATTCATATATAAACATTTGTTCTTCTTGTTTTTCTTACATTTGTATTCATATTTTCTAAGCCTTATTTCAATTTGTTAGCATATATTTTACTTAGCATTGTTTCCTTTCGTCGCCGTTTTGCATTCTGTGCTATGCTACAGCAGCAAATGGCATTAACTTTCTATTGTCTGCTAGTAATTTGTGGGAGAAATTTATGAAACAAATTGAAATTAAATGAAAAAATACAAAAGACATGTAGTCAATCCACCTTCTATAGACATAATACAAAGTATCTATTAACGTTACGAATGACAAAAGGAGAATACCGCTCATATTCTTCCCTGTAGCAAAATGGCTGGCGTAGGAGACCATGCTTTATAGTTTCATTATAAAGTAGTACAAACGTAATTGAAAATATTACCCAACAAAAGAGGAATATAGAACGCCAAATCTGTAAACGACATGCATCATAATACGTCATCATTAGCGAGAAGGAACCCCCAAGCAGCGCATATTCACTGCACCTCCCCTGGCAACTTATGTGTACGTGTAACAGCCGGAGGTAACAGGAAGTGGCATGCAATGATTTTTACCTCATTAAGACCTCTTAAAATCGGAATAGTATTCAAGACAATGAAATAGTGTGTTTATAGTTTTTTTGGCCCAACATGTTTATTTCCTCTCTCAAAATTCAATGATTTATTTCCACCAAGCTGAGCTTTTCAACTCAGCAAGAATCATATGACAAATATAAGTAAAATAAGATTTATGTAGAGCTTCATCATAAATTTACAGAGCTTCATCATAAATTGACGAAACATAATCAAAGAATATATAAATGCTATATCCTCAACATTCAATCTAATATCAATTTGAATTCAATTTTAACCTTATACAACCATTCTGGTTTTAGAAAATAAATAGCTTATTTTTTAATCCAGTGATTGCTTTGAAGAATATAACCCACTTTTAAAAAACTGTAAGCATTTTTCAACAAACACCTCAACCAAATATATACAGAACAAAAAGAATCAATTGTAACTTTTTCCAGTTTAATAACTCTCAAATTCATTTCACACAACTCATCCATATTGCCAATTAAGTAGTTTAAAACGTCAGTTAACATCACCTCTGATTAACTTGAGGTTCAAAGTATTTCTCCTTAACCCGAGACGAATTGGAGATGTTAACCACTTTGGCTTTTCATAGCTTGTAGCTATAATGGTACCTTATTGCTTTTGATTTATTACAACAAGTTGGTTAAAAACTGCTTTGGAAGAAAGAACCAGGAACAAATAACTGAAAATACCCATGAAAAAACAGCAGTAAGATGGAAAAAGTTAAAAAATGAATTGCCAAAAAAATAAAATTACGATCATATGGTGCTAAAAAATTACTGTATATTGCAATGAATTTCTTAATAAAAGAAAATGTAGACATACAAAAATGATTTTAAGTATATCTATCTTAAGTAAACAAAAATATTTTTAAAACTTAAATTTGAAGCATTTTACTACAATTCTGATTCTTTAGAAATGTTTGTAATTAATATATGCTTTATATATGATCTGTGCTTTATTATATTATGGATACATTTTAGTATATATTTATTAGATTAGATGATAACCTTCTTGACCAACAAACCACTAAACCACAATGCCACTCTCAAAATTGAAAGAGTATAAACAAAGAAATGAGAATATTGTTTTTATCTTTTTTTATCTCCCTAGAGGTTACGATGGGCTATGACTCTAGAAAGGTTAAAAATTCAAACCACTGCAGTTCATTACGCTTTAATAGTGACAAATACTTTTTTTTGCAATAAAAGGCATAAAAGGAAGGGGGATAATCAAAAAGATATCAGAAGTAATCTAGTCATACTTACTATGTTCTCTAACTAATACAAAGTTTAGTGTGTTCATATCGTGCAGTGTGCTATCCATATCAACTTTCTCCCCTGGGAAACACTCCTTTTCCAAAGTGTAATGAGGACCTGAATGTAAAATAAAAGAAATCATTAAAAAATAAAGTATTTCTTATTACAAATCAATATAACGATTAAACATGGTATACAATTTATCAATTGGTTGATTGTAAAGGATATAAGTAGAATTGAATGTTCCAGAAGAAAATGTGAAAATCAATAAATTCATATCACAAATCAACATGAATTTGATTATTATGTCACATTTATTTGTGATTATTCTCGCTTATACTTCAAGATCATTCATATACACAGATGATGATCGTCAATGTCTCATCACAATAAATAATAACTGCATTGTTGACACTTTGTTAATCTTAAATTGAAAATTCTTTTGTTATATCAGAGATTTTTGGTAGAAAAAAACAAGAAGTAAAAGGAATATTTTCAAGAACAGAAAAATACATATTTCTATTACCTTATTTCTTATTTGTATAACACGATGGAATTAATAACTCTTCAATCAATTTAATAATTCTCATAATTATTTTTATAATTATAGTAATATAAAAAATTGAATAATTTCATTTCTGAAATGCCCTTTTTTAAAGGGCCAACATAATTTGAGTCTTCAATCTTGAATTGAAAATATATGTGTTACCCATTTTAAATCCTGTAATCCAAACTTGCCAATTATAATTATAATTGAATGTAACTACACTATAATTATACAGGTGTACCTTACTCTTTTGGGGCAATTTGTCTTGGTCATAAGCTCTGAGCACCCAGTCATCGGTGGCAAGGCATTTGTGAATGCTAGGTAGAGGGCCATTATTATCCTTGTTTTTTTAATTTGATAATATGGCCTATATTAATCCAAAATATTATCATTATTACAAACTAAGTTTCATGTTGCATATCCTCAAGAACAAGCGTTGTCCTCTATATTACAGGCTGCTAATCTTAAGTTAAAACTTTAGATTGTGCTTATTAACTTGGTATATTAACTGTGATTTATCGTTTCTTACAGTCATGTTGTTTTGCAGTATTTCTCATTTAAGCACATGTTAAAGAATGAAAAAGCATACGATTGCTACTGGCACTTTGATTCACTACAAAGCCTTCTTGGATATAAATTGCTATACTGCTGTTAGAGGGCTTGGGTTCGAGTCACTGTGGAGATTGATCTCTTTTTTCCATGTAATGTCTATGTACACTATTCAGTCTTTTATGTCAAATATTTGTGATTCGACCATATATGGCATAATATTTTATAACATCTATATATGGACAAATCATTGATATTTGTTATAGAAAGTTTGATATTGTGGACTGACTCTTATTTCAATAAATAGGTTTTTATATCTTTGGACTGTGTAAAGATTAATTATTTTGATACAGACAATTAAAATTGATTTAAAATAGTTTTTTTACTTTAGTAGGCCTGCTGTAAATGCTCGAATAAGCGCCATGGCGCTTACAAAATTTTTGGCGGCTTCAGTGCGGCGCATATTCAAGAGCAGCTCTTATAAAAAAAATATTGGCGTGGTGCTTTCCTTGCCTGTTTCCATGTTACCTATTTCACGGTTTCCCGTAGTTCAGTAGGCTTATCATAGGTTCTATCATCATAAACAAACGTTTATAAGAAATGCTTGTGACTTCATTGTCTTATTTCTTCATTTTAACACTGTATACATTGAAAACACAGGGAAATATTATATACTCTCGATTAAGCACCAAGGCGCTTATTCAAGGGTGGCCCTTAACAAAAAAAATCATGGTTGGTGCAGCGCTTAATCGAGAGCAGCGCTTATTTGAGAGCGGTGCCTATTCAAGCATTTACGGTATATTACAATGCAGTGACTGTAAACCAAGCCATTTGGAGGTGGGGTGAGAAAAGTGAATGTTGCTTAAAAGCCATTCACAACCAGAAGCACTTAAAGCAAAGATTGAAAGAAAACTCCTAGCCTAACAATTTATAGCAAACAAAATACAAGGAAGTGGTTTTCAAAATGAAGAATATGTTGGAGCAGGGTTAGGGGTACCCAGTTTATGGTTTACCCAGGGTGTTAATCTATATAGTTATCTTGGGTTCCAAATAATGCCTTTTATTGAAATTTGCAATTTGGACTTTTGTCTTTTTTAAATGTTAGGCCCTACTATTTTTTTGTATGTTTTTATATGAGGGCTAATAAAATTTCTTGTATAGGGTCTTCCATTTTTCAGCACTAAACAACCAACAGGGAGCAAACCACTATTTAGGTTGACACTAAACAATAAACTATCATATATAAACTACAGACATTAGATAATGCATTATTCAACTGAGCTCCCAAATTATTGTATACCCTAGGCCTCAATTCATAAAGATTTTGCTTATATCTATCAAATATCTATTTTCAGTGTCTCTAATACCATATTACACCTTTATATGTACTGACCTAACTGGTTTCTTCATGATAAAATTCCCTTAGAATCAAAGATTAAACTAAGGAGGTTTTAGTGACAGGTGTAAATAATTATTAATCATAGTTTTGTTCCTCATTATGTATCAGCTGTTTACAGGAAATAATTATTTCATAAAATTAAGGCTCAAAATTTCCAACTTGCACTGTATATGCTTCAAATTCTACCTCAACTTCAAGCCATTATTACTATCATTACAGCTTATATATGCCGAGTATATAATCACATTAAATTTTATTTCAAATATAATTCAAATTATCATTGCTATTTTATATTATGTGTTTATTGCCATAGTAACAAACATTGATCTTCAATTAGTAAAATTATTAAACATATTGTTGAAATCATCAGCAATGCAATTTTGTACAGAGCAGTTTTAAAAGTCATAGTTTGAAATAATAAGTCCTACTTTTGTATGACCGGCAGTTTTCTATTTGCAAAACTAGGAGGAAATTATAACTAAAAATACAGCACAGACTACACATATTTCATTTATATTATGTGACAGAAACAATGTTTAAAAAGTACTCATGTTTTCCGGTGTTCTTCGAATAAAAATAATCTAAAAAATCCTTGAAAATATGTGATACAAATTATCCCTTTTTTTGCATAATCATTCAATTTAGTGTTTCTTTTGATCTTCAAAAAGTTACAGTGACATGGCCACCTGTTTTGAAGCAAATTAATTCCCTTTTCAACCATCATTCTAAACTGTACTGTTAATGGCATTGTGTAAAATAAAAATTGATCATAGCCACTCATAATAATCATTTTCAGGAACCCTTAATTTTAGATTTTATTGTTACATATATAATAGAATCTGATTATATGTATCACTAGACAATTATCTGTCATGATATGAAAGAAACCATAACATCAAGTCCTAACATATAATTCTAAATCAAATTATAAACAAGTCCATAAAATTATTATTTAATTTCAGCAAATATAAACCCAAATGGTCACAGGAAGAAATATTTTTCTCTTTCTTGACGTCAAATGTTCATATATTTTCTTGAAAAGCTCAAAGTGATAACGAGTCACCAACTTGGGTTGATGAGAATAAAACAAATCCCCCATGGCAACACTTTCCTAATGAGAAATAGATAAGATGGTAAGAAATGTCATCTTCATATTAAAACTTCTAGGCTTGGCCATTTACCAGTTTTAAGATTAGCAGGAAATGTACTTGAAGACCTATAGAGAGTTGATGAGAACTTTGCTATAGGCATGGCTTGTTGACTAAAGACCAGCTGAATATAGCTTTACTCAAACATTTGAATGAGTGAATTTCAGGTAATTTCAACAAAAAAATATTGATATAGTATATATCATAGCAAAAAAATTATCAAATAAATGATTACTCCAAAAAAAGGTGAAATGTAATTATATTAAATATACTTATGTTCTATTTCAATATTTTTCTTGAAGATGAATGTATTTAGCTTAATAACATACTAATTTAATATTTATTTCTATAATAATCATAATATTATCAGCTAAAGTTATATTATCTTATAGATTTATTCATTACTATTAAATATGTTCTGTACATGTATGTACCTTGTGACAAACTAAGAAAGATATTTTTTGTATTTTACAATCTAAAATAGTAGGCCTACAAATTGTATTAAAAATATCAATAATCTATATTCATATAAAATATTATAAATAATTTTTTTTTTCAAATCCATAAAATTATATAAACTAATGATTCTGATTAAAAATATAATTAAGTAAAATATATTTTATTAACTATAAATAATCAAATGCATATTGTTTTATGTAATTTTACTCATAAAACATGGGTAAAGGAAGATCATATGTTTTTAAATAAGAATCAATAAGTCAATTAAAAAAAACCAAAATAATGAAATTAATAACTAACATTGCACACAGATGAGCAAGAATTCTAAAATTTAATTTACATAAGGGAAAATATTATTTCAAAAAGGTTGATGTTCTGGAAGGCAATAGCCCTGCAACCTTTGCCTTAATTGCTATTGGCTATTTTATCAGGCTAGTATATTAGCAGACGACATGGAGATTTCTCCCAAGGGAGTAATTCCTCACCCACCGGCATTCTGGGATATGCTGGTATCTACAAGGCACTGATTTCACATTTGTATACCGTAATCTTAATACAATTAAAATTGAAATGTATCAACCCGGGATAAAAGGAAAGATTGCAATTACAAGTGCAACAAATGTTGGTAAATTCATAATATTATGTATCTGTTTGTCAAAGAAGATTTTTCCAATTTTTACTTTCAATTTTATTAGCTAAATTCAGACAGCATATCTTTACAAATATAAAATAAGTCATCAACTCAAAATGGAAACATTAATTTAGTTTTTGCTCATTATAATTTTTAATATGAAAATCCTATATAATTTTTTGAGTCTATAAAAACATATATTGTACATAATTATTTAAATTTAGATTTGGTTTTGATTAGCAGGTGAATACTATTATACAATAATTCTTCTTAAACAAAACCAACAAACTGCTGTTTACATCTCTATTATAATATGACAAATTTCTGTAGTTAATGACTGCTAATAATTCAAAATGACATACACTACAACTAAATAATATAATT